TTTACTACACTGTAGGAGGCTTCTCTCATTTCCCTGCATAGGAAGTTGGAGCTGATAGATGGAAGCTCACCCCGTTCCCTGGATTCCAACCACTGACCTTTTGAGCAACAGACCTGCTAGCACAAGGATTTAACCCATTGTGCCACCCGGGGAGCAATAGGAAACAAGTGTACTCTTGTGAAGTGTGAATTGTCCAGGAGGACAAATAACCTTTGGAAGGAGAATGTGAAGCTTGGTTAACTGTTCTTTGACAGATGAAGAATCATACACTTTTGTAGTAACATGTAAATCTATGTCTGTTCATTAGAGTGGAATTCCTTGGAACTCACCATTATCTTCACTACAACAGAGATCTTGCAAATCAGAATTTCCATCTGAAATGGGAGCTGATGTTAGACAAGGGGACTGGTTTTAGATACTCCCTTTTCTCTATTTTGTTTCTAGAGGGGGAAATGAGCATGCTTACATCCAGTCATACTCCATTAACTATTCCATTAATGTCTAAAGGGTAATGGCTCTGAATAAAAGGTAAAGGTTTCCCTAACATTAAATCTAGTCGTATCTGACTCTGAAGGATGGTGCTCATCTCCATTTCTAAGTTGAAGAGCCGGTGTTGTCAGTAGACACCTCCAAGGTCATGGGGCCAGCATGACTGCATGGAGCACCGTTACCTTCCAGCAGAAGCGGTACCTATTGACATTTGCATGTTTCTGAATTGATAGGTTGGCAGATGCTGGGGCTAACAGTGGGAGCTCAACCTGCTTCCTGGATTTGAACCATCAATCTTTAGGTCAGCAAGGTCAGCAGCTCAGTGGTTTAACCCACTGCACCACCGGGGGCTGTGGCTCTTAATAGTAAGCTACAAAAGGCCTAAATTTCACAAATTACTGTTTACACTGGAGAATCTCTGGACAACCATGTAGACATCAAGAGCAGCTTGTTGATGCTGGGATTATCATGGCAACCCAAACTTATATTGGAGTACTGCTGCTGTACAGCTAACCATTCCTAACAGCCTCAGGCCCTTTCCTTTCCCCCACTCAGCCGCTTAAGTGAAGATTTACATGGACTTGTATTCTGTGTGCACCTTGTGTAGATGGCATCAGAGCATATCAGAAACACAGGCAAACCTGGGCCTCAATCATGTACGCCAACTGAAAAGTGCATGACTTCTGGTTGCACATGTAGACTTCTCCATGCCGGAAATCCGTGTAGACCTTCCCTCAGTCACAGTCACTCTGAGTAGATTCCATCAACATTTTGAAAGCTAAGCCACTTATTACGGCATGACTTTACCTGGATAATAGAAACACACGGATGCAGAAACACACAGACATTTCTGACCTGTTGAATGCATGTTGTTGTGGTGGTCCTTCAAGTCAGTTCCAACTTACCATAAGGTAAACCTATCACAGGATTTTTCTGGCAAGGATTTGTCCACTGCCTTCTTCTGAGGCTGGGAGAGTGTGACTTGCCCAAAATCACCTGGTGGGCCATGCTGAATCCACATTACATTCTTTTCTTTGTAGAGTTTGTTTCCAAAAGGTACCAAATCCAAAAAAGTTGAAAAATGTGTTATAGGTAGCTTACTTACTTAGGCGATCCCTCATAGCCCAAGGATTTTTTTTCTTGTGTCAGGAGCAACTTGAGAACTTGCAAGTCACTTCTGGTGTGAGATAATTGGGGAGGCTTCTCTCATGTCCCTGCATGAGGAGCTGGAGCTGACAGAGGGAGCTCATCCGCACTCTCCCCGGAATCGAACCTCCGACCTGTTGATCTTCAATCCTGCCAACACAAGGGTTTAACCCATTGCTTGGATGATGGCCTTCCAAACATAGGGTCTTGGCAATGGATACGCAGGTGGCTGTGGAGCCCTATTCTTCATCCACATGTTCTTCTGCAGTGAGGACATCAGTTTCCAGGTGGAAGGCGGTCCTGATCAGTGTTGGCTTGACACGCCTTCCTCAAGGGACATTTCTCCCTCCATTCGTGCTTCTTCAATTTCTGCAGCAGTGCTGGTCACAGCTGACCTCCAGTTTGAATGCTTGAAGGCCAGGGCTTCGCAGTACTCGGTGTCCATGCCACAGTTTTTAAGGTTAGCTTTAAGCCCATCTTTAAATCTCTTTTCCTGTCCACCAACATTATGTTTTCCATTCTTGAGCTGTGAGCATAGTAACTGCTTTGGGAGATGGTGATTGGGCATTCGGACAATGTGGCCAGTCCAACGTTGTTGATGATGTAGGAGTATCACTTCGGTGCTGGCGGTCTTTGTTTCTTCCAGCACGCTGACATTTGTCTGCCTGTCTTCCCAAGAGATTTGCAGGATTTTTGGAGACAATGCTGATGGAATTGTTTGAGAAGTTGAACAATTGAAGTTGTAGACAGTCCACGTTTTACTGGCGTATAGCAGGGTTGGGAGGACAATAGCTTTATAAACAAGCACCTTGGTCACCCCATGGATGTTCCAATCCTCAAACACACTCTGCTTAATTTGGAAAAAATGCTGCACTTGCAGAGCTCACTTATAGGTATCAGCACATTGCTAGCTAGAAATAGAATATTCTGCATGGATCAAAACTATCAAAATGTATCAAATGATTTCGGTACAGGGCTTGGAAAATGGCATGATTTTATAGCAAAATAGCATTTTTGTTTGGTTCCCGATTCCTGTAAAATAGATTTGGTGCCTTTTGGAAACAAGCTCCACACCTGGACAATGGGTCAGTGGAGGGAACAGTTATTATTTCAGTGTCAAAGGAATAGGTGGATGGCGGGAGGGCGATGGATGGATGGCAGCACTTAGAGTAGACCTGGGCAAACTTCAGCCTTCCAGGTGTTTTGGACAACAACCCCCACAAGATTCTAACAGCCCGTAGGGCTTTATTTCAGAGGAAGGAACTGGCAGAGCCACCTTCGCCTATGGCAGTGGTTCTCAACCTGTGGGTCCCCAGATGTTTTGACCTACAACTCCCAGAAATCCCAGCCAGTTTACCAGCTATTGGGATTATTTGGGAGTTGAAGGCCAAAACATCTGGGGATCCAGAGGTTGAGAACCCCTGGCCTATGGGAAGTGCACGGGGTCGCCTTAAGTCAAGAGTCGGCCTGAAGGCAAGCTATGAGAGAGGCACATCCCTGGCTGTGACCACTGTGTGTGGCCGACCCTAAGCCCTGCTTCCCCCGTTGCCGCCCGCCTTCTTTCTTCTCCCTTTGGCCGCCCTTGGGGGTCAGGGCCAAGCAGCGGCAGCAGGAAGAGCACATCGGGTGCCCGGCGCTGTCCCGGCGAGTCGGGCTCACCTTCTTGGGCGGAGGTCGGTTCGCGGCCCTCCTCCTCCTCCTCCTCCTCCTCCTCCCGGTCCCCTTTCTCTTCTTTGCCGCCGCCCCGTCGCGTGCCGTTCCCCGCTGCCGCCAGGAGGAGGCGCTGCGAGGCCAGGCCAAGCGGCCCTTCTGCCCTCGGGCACAAGCCTTGGCCGGAGAGGAGCCCTCAGGCAGGCAGGAAGAAGGAAGGTCCGCTGCGTGGAAGCGCCTGGGTCCCTGTGGCCCCGTGTGGCAAGGAAGGAGCACGCTCCTTCGGTCGCCCATCCCCGAAGTGTGCCCCTCGCCGCCGGAGTTGGAGGGACGGGGCGCCTCCCCCCATTCCCCCCCACCCCCCACCTCTCTCCCCTTCCTTCGCTTTCCGAGGCGAAACGGGGACTGAGCGCTGCCCCGTTGACACAGACACGCGGCGCAGGTGCCCTCCTCTCCCGGCCCTCTGGCTTCGGCTCCGTCCGCGTAGTGAGGCCCGCGCGAAGAAGACAACACTCTCACGGCCTCCCCACCTGAGCCGGAGGAAAGAAGAAGAACGGGGTGGTGCATGGATCTTCCCCACGCACTCTCTCACTTCCCCTCCTCCTCAATCTCTGCGCTCGGCAGACTCGAAGCTCGCCCCAAGCCCCCTCACCCCTCCCCTTGCCTTGACCCTTGCCTTTCCCTTTACCCGGCGCCCGTGCCAAGCGCTGGCGGACAAGGTAAACTACGCCTACTTCTTATTGCCAGCCAGCGACCGACCGAGGGAGTACTAGGAAGGCGCAGAGGGAGGGACGAAAGGGGAAAGCGTGGTGCGCGCTAGCCCGTAGATCTCCCACCGCCTCGTGGACACGTTGCAGGGGAAGGAGGAGGGCGACGAGGCGTTTAGTAAGTCAACGTAAAGCCCACTACATTCCCCCCTTACCCTCCCCTCCCTACCCTATGCAAATATGTAAGAGCCAAACCCTGATAAAACAGAGCCCCCCCCATCCCGCCCGCTCCCTTCAACAAGGTTACTCCGTCTTCAGGCCAGGTACTGCCAGGCAGGCCGGGCGCAGTAGCTGAAGCGCCGCGCGAGGGGAAAGCAGGGAGATATGGACTAAGCAGCCATGACGGCATGTAGGGGACCAGACAAGGGTAAGCGGCCTGAACGAGCGCTCGCGCTGATGAGATGATGATGCGTGCGTGCTTTAGCTGTTGTTTGCGTTTTTTCTGGCCGGCGAGGGTGGGGATAGGTTTAGGGGTTGGGCGCGCACAGAGAGAGGGGCTGGGAGGCGGAGGAGAGTGCTGCCACGCAGCCGCGAAACCAGTGCGACGAGGACTGACAGGCGGGAGCAGCAGGACGCCGGCGAGTAGCGACAGACGTCCCGTCTCGAGCAGATGTGAGAGGGAGGGCGGGAATTGGCAAGCGAAGTGATGGAGGATGAGGAGGAGCGCGGAGCAGGGCGGCGATGCCCTTGCCACCTGCCTAGTGGCGCCCAAGGTAGGGTGCCCTCCTCTTCCTCTGAACCGCGCAGATGAAAGGACCTTCGCACTCGCCCCGCCTTCCGAGCCCCCCCTCCCGCGCGCTATCACAAGGCGCTTAACTTGGCAAGGATGGGAGGGCCTAGGGAGGAGACGGAGTGCGCGTGCCGGGCGCGGCGGCGTAACACCACAAGGCCCATATACGTCTAACGCTACCCGGCCGTGGCGGCGTGTCGTGTGGTGGCGCGGCGCGCGGTTCCTGGGGCGCGGGGCCGGGCGATGCGTTGGAAGGAACGTGCCGCTGGCGTCTGGCTCCGGGAGCCGCTGGGGCGCCCTCCTCTCCCCCCTCCTCCTCCTCCTCCTCCTCCTCACGCCTTCTCCCCGCGCCGACCGAGCCTTTCCTCGCTTTTCTCGCCAGGAAGAAGCAGCAGTTGCGGCGCCGCGGGGACCGTCATGCCTCCTCGCCGGGGAGCCACGCCGACCGACACCGGAGCCCCTTCCCGCCTCTAGAGCGCCCGGAAGACCTCTCTCTCTTTCCCTCTCTCTCCCTCTCTTCTCTCGCCGCCCAGCCAGATGCAGATGCCATCGCTGTCTTCGCTGCAGCGTTAGAACCACCTTGCGCCCCCCCCCCAACACACACCACCACTTCCAGCTTCAAAGGGAAGGAGCAAATGGAATGAATGATCTCCGTGGATCCTGCACGTTGCGACCCCCCCGCTTTCCCCCCCCTCTCGCACGGTCTGATTCATCTGGGAAGCCAACCTCTCCCTAGCGCTGCCTCGCTCTCTCTCTCTTTCTCTCGATTTGAATTTGCACCACGTCAAGACACGAGGACCGCTCCTCGGCAGGGAGAGGTGGTTTCTCCGGGTGTGTGTGCCTCGCCCCCTCCCCGCTGGCTCCCCCGGCCTCGCTCTTCTTATGTGGATATGCCAGCGAGGAGAGGAGACTGGAGACTCCCAACATGCTCACTCCCTTAACCTGTCCGCCTAGAGGTTCTGCTTCTACAAACCAAGGTAGGACCAGGGGGCTCCCCTGCCTTTCTTCTCTTGCGCTGCATAGATATATGTATATGGGTGGGAAAACGGGGCAATTTCCACCCCTCCCCAAAGCTGCCTAGGGTAGATCCAGCCTCATTGGTACGAATGGCACGAACCACCAGCCCAGCCGCTCACAAAAGAGCCAGCCATGCTGTTGAGAGAGAGAACAGGTACAATTTTGGTGTGTGTGTTCAAGATGGGGAGCCGTTCCGTTCAGACATGTTGATTCCCATCTTGGCTCAGCAGAGGAGATGGAGGAGCCCCAAAGAGGCGCTCGTGGCGGATCTCTTCCCTTTGCTGTGGGCCCTGGAAGGGAGGGGAGGGCAGGGCGGTGGGGTAGCAAAGAGGGGAGGAGGGAGGGGTCCTCAAAAGACCCTCCGCCAGCCGCAGAGGAGCAGCTTCTCCAGCATAGGCCCCCTCCTTTTCCTTCTCTTGCACCGGCCCTGAGGCAGTGAGCAACATGGTCGTGGGCTGGAGAAAGAGAGAGAGAGAGAAAGGGGGGGGGGGAAGAGAAGAGATGGTCGTGGGCTAAAAAAGGGGAGGGGGTTATATTATATGGTGCAGTCGGGCCGGGAGAAGCGGGAGGGAAGGAGGCCTCGCCTTGCAGTCGGGGCTTTGGAGCCACCAAGCCTCGAGGGGAAGGGTGGCGAGGCAAAGGGGGGCCACGAGGCGGGTTGAGTGGATCCTGCACGCGCGGGCGGGTAGGCGGGGGGCTATTTTAAGTCCACGCACGTCAGTCAGGAGGCACGCTGTGGAAACGGGGGGAGATGGGGGAAAAAAGCATGGAATGGCAGGCAGCTCGTTCTCTCCTCCATGTGGGTTTCCCCCTTTTTCCATCTCTCTCCCCTTTTCCAGGCGTGGTGCCTTTCCCACGTAGCTACCCACCCTTCCCTTTTCTGCCCATCTCTTTCTCACACACAGCATGACGCCCCACACTCCTCTAAGGCAACTGCTACTCGCTGGATGATGCAAAATGGCTCTCTCTCTCTCAACCTCTCTTTCTTTCTCCGTTGGGCTGCGCGCCTACGCGACACATACCGATCTAAATGATGGCACGGGTTGGGATTGGGGCTCGGCTCTGTGTAAGATGGTGGCAAGACAAAGGAGGACGGGAATTAATATATAGATATTGGGTTGTGGGTGTGGAGTGGGCTCTGCGCCTCGCGGAGGGAGCGGGGAGGCGTTGATTTGGAGCCAACGGGTGGGCAGCCACCGGTGGCCCTTGCAGGAGGAGACAGACCCTGGAGGGCGAGCGCCTTCCCTTCCCCATCACAGCAGCATTCTTGGCCCTGCTCTTCTTCCCTTCTCCTTGTGCATCCCGGCCTGCCACCACACCCCCTCCGGCTCTCGGGGCTGCCCTTTGCGAGAAAGAGGGAGGGAGGGAGAGAGGGATCACCAAGGACCACAACGAAGATGCTTCCCGGAAGGAAACGCGGGCAGGGAATTAGCCACGCCACGCCGCCGTTCCCTCCCTCCCCTCCCTCGCCCCCCGCCCGCGTTTCCTTTCGGACACCCTCCATCTCCAAAGGGAGCCTGAGCACCCCCGACGCCCCCTCTTCTCCCTCTCCCCCCTCCCTCGCTCGCCCATCTCCCGGCACGTTCGCCTGGCGCTTCTATAAATAGCCCAGGATCTCGGTGACATCTGCCGACGTCCCCCTCGCCGCAAGTGGGAGTCTAAAGTTTACCTGGGCGGGTGGAGAGGCGGGGCCAGAACGCTGGGGGCAGGGAGGGCGTGGCCTGCGGCGCGCTCCAGAAGGAGGGGAACGGGGCGGGGCTTGCCGGCTCAGCCCGGGCGGGCGGGCAGGTGTGCTGCTTCTGCTGCTTCTGCTGTTGCTACTGCTCTTCCTTCTCCCTCCTCTGTTCCTTCTCTTTCTCCTCCTTCCCGCGCGGTTCAGTCCATCCAACCCTTTCTCTGAGAGCCGGCCTTCAAGCTTCGCTGGCTGTTCAACGAGAAGCCAGGACGGAGCCTCGTTGCCACCAGTGGAGCGCGTGTGGTGGCGAGGACGCGTCTGTCTGGCTCTTTCTGCCCGGCTCTCTCTTTCCCTTCCCCAGTGGTGCTCACCCTGTGGGTCCCCAGGTATTTTGGCCTACAACTCCCAGAAATCCCAGCTGTTAGGATTTCTGAAGGCCAAATCATCTGGTGTGCCTTCTTCTGTTCCTTCTTTCTCTCACGGTTCATTCCATCCAACCCTTTGGGGGCTTTTTTATTATTTGAGAGCCAGCCCTCCAACTTCTCTGGCTGTTCAACGAGAACGTTGCCACCAGTGGAGCACGTGTGGTCTTGACTCCCTGGCTCTCTCTTTCCCTTCCCCAGTGGTTCTCAACCTGTGGATCCCTGGGTATTTTGGTCTACAACTCCCAGAAATCCCAGCCAGTTTACCAGCTATTAGGATTTATGAAGGCCAAAACATCTGCTGTGCCTTCTTCTGTTCCTTTCTCGCTCAGTTCATTCCATCCAACCTTTTGGGGCTTTCTCTCTCTGAGAGCCAGCCTTCAAGCTTCTCTGGCTTTTCAACAAGAAGCCTGGAAGGAGCCTAGTTGCCACTAGTGGAGCGCATGCGGTCTCAACTTCCTGGCTTTCTCTTTCTGCTCAACTCTCTCTTTCTCTTCTCCAGTGATTCTCAACCTGTGGGTCCCCAGGTATTTTGGCCTACAACTCCCAGAAATCCCAGCCAGTTTACCAGCTATTAGGACAGTGGTTCTCAACTTGTAGGTCTCCAGGTGTTTTGGCCTACAACTTCCAGAAACCCCAGCCAGTTTACCAGCTGTTAGGATTTCTGGGAGTTGAAGGCCAAAACATCTGTGGACCCACAGGTTGAGAACCACTGTATTAGGATTTCTGAAAGCCAAAAATCTGCTGTGCCTTCTTCTGTTCCTTCTCTTTCTCGCTCGGTTTATTCCATCCAACATTTTGGAGCTTTTCTCTCTCTGAGAGCCAGCCTTCAAGCTTCTCTGGCTGTTCAATGAGAAGCCTGGACAGAGCCTCATTGCCACTGGTGGAGTGCATGCGGTGTGGACTCCCTGGCTCTCGCTTTCTGTCCAGCTCTCTCTCTCTCTTCCTCAGTAATTCTCAACCTGTGGGTCCCCGGGTGTTTTGGCCTACAACTCCCAGAAATCCCAGCCAGTTTACCAGCTATTAGGATTTATGAAGGCCAAAACATCTGCTGTGCCTTTTTCTGTTCCTTCTCTTTCTTGCTCAGTTCATTCTATCCAACCCTTTGGCCTACAACTCATAGAAATCCCAGCCAGTTTATCAGCTTTTAGGATTTTTGAAGGTTTTTACATCTGGGGAACCACAGGTTGAGAACCACTGCTCTACTTGCAGTGGGTCCTTCTTTCTCACGATTGGAGCCTTCCACCCGTTTTCACAACCATGACCCTTCTTTCGGAGGCACTTTCTTCTTGGCAGCAGTGAGTTGTTCCGGCTCCCCATTAAGTAAAAGTTGCTATTTCATCACACTAGAGAATGAATCCACTTTAAATCCGTTTTTTCCCCTCCTGCAGAATTCTGGGGTTTGTAGTTTAGTGAGGCTGGTAAAGGCTCCTGCTTATACTACAAACCCCAGAATTCTGCTGGAGGAAAAAAATAGATTTAAAGTCGATTCATTCTCTAGTGTGATGAGGCCCTTAGACTTGACTTTTCAGGCTCCGAGTGTAGACCAGCAAATTTCAAAGCCCATTCGAGCTTCGCTTCAAATCTCAGTGTTGCTTCCCTGGTCTAAGAAGTAGGGAGAGAGATATAGGATGCACGTTCTTGCCTAAGACAAGACAAGGCTCCAATTGTATTCTTGGTGACAAATATTAAATTTCGTAGTTTAAAATGATCAGATTTGATTTTCTTCTTCTTCTGAAACACCCCTACTTTTGTTAGAAAGCAAATTTGATTTAAAAATATTCACAGTATAATTTTTCATTGATGAAATATACTGTTTTGTCAAAGGCTTTCCTGGCTGGAATCACTGGGTTGCTGTCAGTTTTCCGGGCTGTATGGCCATGTTCCAGAAGCATTCTCTCCTGGCGTTTTGCCTAAATCGATGGCAGGCATTCTCAGAGGTAGGAGCTCCCAGTGGTGCAATGGATTAAAACCTTGTGCCGACGGGACTGAAGACTGACAGGTCGGAGGTTCAAATTCGGGGAGAGCGTGGATGAGCTCACTCTGTTAGCTCCAGCTCCCCATGTGGGAACATGAGAGAAGCCTCCCATAAGGATAGTGAAACATCAAAACATCTGGACATCCCTTGGCAATGTCCTTGCAGACGGCCAATTCTTTTACACCAGAAGCGACTTGCAATTTCTGAAGTCGCTCCTAACACAGAAAAAAATCCCTCAACCTCTGATGATGCCTGCCACAGATGTGGGTGAAATGTCAGGAGAGAATGCTTCTCGAACTTTGCCATACAGCCTGGAAAAATCACTGTCTTACTTGGAAGTATGTTCTGTTGAATAGATTTGGATGCAATGGCCTCACTGATGCAAGTTTTTCAACCCCCTCCCCACATCTGGATGGAATTGACATTCAGTTTTCAATCTGACCTCTTCCGCTTTTGGATAATTTTCACCCATTCATACAAATAGGAGAAGGTTCAAATGCGACACTTGAGTTCATGTCCTTGAAAGTGAGATTACCACTTTCTATTACCAATATTCACATGCTCACAAGTGATGCATTGGAGGGAATTGGACTGAAGACATCCTGAACTTTGGGTTGCTGTGAGTTTTCCAGGATGTTCCAGAAACATTCTCTCCTGATGTTTCACCCACATCTGTGGCAGGCATCCTCAGAGGTTGTGATGTCTGTTGGAAACTATTCAAGTGGCCTTTATATATCTGTGGAATGTGGGAGAAACAACTCTTCTCTGTTTGAGGCAAGTGTGAATGTTGCAATTGGCCACCTTGATTAGTGTCAAATAGTCTTCCAGCTTCAAAGCCTGGCTGCTTCTTGCCTGGGTGGAATTCTTTGTTGGGAGGTGTTCGCT